TAAACTTCAGCAAGTTCATTCAGGCATTTCCCACCTTACCAGTAGATTTTTTTAAAAAAACCAATGCACCACTGAATTGATGGAGCATCTCAGTTCTCCACTGCAGTGGATGCTGCTGGCGTCCCACCCAGGTCCCCTTTCCCAGGCCAGTGTGCCCATCCCCGGGCTCCTGGGAGTGTTGGCAGCTGAAAGTTCACAGCTACTCCCTTTTCTAGAGAATTGCCCTTGGCAGAATAGGAGCCTCACCCAGGAGGGTCCATGCCATATGCCCTCTATGCCCAGCATCCTGTAAACAGTGTCAGACTGATATGGAGGAACTCAAGGCTGGTCCCCTGGCTTCCAAGTAGGACCAGCCCTGAGGCACGACTCATGCTCTACAGCTCCCCATGTGAATCCAGCTGGGGCCACACCTTAAACTCCTTCCCCTCGCCCATCCCGCTTCCCTAACCCCTTTCTCCCTCAATAAACCCTATATATCAGGACAGGCTCTGCTTTTAGGGAATCCGGCCCAAGTCATCCAGCCAGTATGCAAATGCCCCAACAATGACAAATTTGAATGAAACAGACTTCATGGTAGCCCCGAGCCCCCGATCTCTGAGACCAAACTCATCTGAGCACCAAGTTATTTAAAGTCTTGATCTTCAAGGTGCCTGAGGCTTGAGGCTCTTGGCCTGAAGAGGTTGTGAAGGGAATAGAGCCAGGGACCTACTGCCACCTCAGCGGAGGAGCTCCTGGAGCATCATATATGGGCAGGTTCTGCCAGAGGGCCTGGAGTGGGCTCCCGCAGCTCACAAGGAAATGTAAAAAAATGTTTTGGGTGGGGCAGGGAGAAGTCCTTGGCAGCCACACACTGTGCAGGGAGCATCAGTGGCCAGGCCCAGTACGGAGGGGACAAGTGCTTCCCAAAGAAGTGAGGCAGCTGGGGGGACTCGTATAGAATGCCTGGGAGGCACGCATTAGAAATTTACCAGCTGCTTGCCCATGGGAACCCCATCAAGTCCTAAAGCCACATGGGCCCCGCCTTTCTGGAAGGACCAGCAGCTGGTCTCCAGTATCTGAGACACCTGCCAGCAAAGACTAACTTCTTACTCACATGACAGTTGAAGTCACAGACTGCTTTTAATCATTTGTTGAATTAGGAGCTGGAGTCAACAGCACACAAGGAAGCCAGGAGCCAGCGTCGTGCACAAATCCCTTCAGATCTCTTAAGTGAGAGGTCTAAATACTCCTTGATCATCATGAGAGTGAAAGGGAGAGGACGAACACTCATTGAGCCCAGACCATATCACGGGTCCCGTTCTAAGTGATGCACTTGCAGGTAACTCTACGTGATAAATAGTTTCCAATTTTTATGTAAGCAAATTAAGGCTAAGGAAAGTCAAGAAAATTGTTCGGTTTTCCCTTCTAAGTCTTTCCTTTGTCATTTAAATAAGCTTGTCCCTCCCATCTTAAAAAGCAATCGAGCAAACAAAGCAAAAGAACCCCCACCACCTCTTTGGCCCCCTGATCCTCTTCCGGCTCTATTCTAGTTCTCTTCACAAACAGCAGAAATTCAAGGATGAACTGTCTGCACCTGGCACTCTTCCTCACTCCAACTCAGTGGCCCCAACCTTTTTGGGTCCCCAACCTTTTTGGCGCCAGGGACCAGTGCTCCTATGAGAATCTAATGCCTGATGATCTGAGGTAGAGCTGAGGCAGTGATGCTAGCGCTGGGGAGTGGCTGCAAATACAGATGAAGCTTCACTAGCTTGCCCGCTGCTCACCTCCTGCTATGCAGCCCGGTTCATAAAAGGCCATGACTGGTACCGGGAGTTGGGGACCCCTGCTCTAACTTGTTCCTGTACTCATTGCAGTGTGGCCCAGGTGCATCCCGCTCCCAACACACACACTGAAAATGCAAGGCCTCCAGAACCTTCTTATACTGTGAAGTCAAAGCACAATTTTTAGCTTTCTTTTACTGGATCTCCGCAGCCTTTGAGCTCATTGAGCACTTCGTCCATCTAGAAATACAAACTTCCTTTAAAATTTCACCTTCTGCGACACCTCGTCTCCCAGCTTTTCCTTCTACCTCATCAGGTCCTGCTTTCCCGTCTTTGAGGCAGCCGGTTTACTAGATAGAGTTCCGTTTAGGGCCAGGGCAGTTTTGCTCAGCTTTGTATACACAGCAACTTAGAGTGCTGTCAAACGAAGGGACGTGGAGCGAGTGAATGAACGAATGAATCGCCAATCCGCTAGCACAAGGAATGTCATTGTCCAAACCCAGGTGGATCCAACTCTAAAACCCATGTTTGACCCACTCTCCCGAGATGATTGTTATCCAATCTGAAACAGTTCTCTAATCAAAAAAGTTCATGTTCATTAGAAAATTAATGCAAAAATGGAGTGAACTATCTGGTCATGATATTCTTTTTAATACACACACATAACTTCTTTTAATAACACAGAGACTTTAATTGTTAAACCTACAGAGTAATGAAAACTGCAACAGTCAGTACTCTCAGCCAAACGTAGAAACCAAAATTCCTACCCGGCAGCCTAAAGCTCTAACGACCCTGCTTTGCAGTGAGAAAATAAACACCATTTCAGACACACAAAACCTGCATTTAGTTCTCAGTCTACTGGGGCCAGTAAACAACCCATCTGGCTGGTTGGTGGGTATGGCTCGTGCGATGGTGCAGCTTCAGTGCCTCACGGAAATAAAGCCAGCTCATTAACAATCTCAGGGTGAGTATGGGTCTGCTTCGAGGTGACACATTCAACAAACAGGAAGCTCAGGCCTGATGCTTGACTTCCCCAGACCTGGCAAGGAGCTCCTGCCTGCCACAGAGCAGCAGCAACAGAGGAAAGATGAGCAAAGTGTCAGGAGACTGCTCAAACCGTGCTTTTAGAACCTGTCCCAGTCTGTAACCTTTTGTTATTACTGTGCAACAAGGCAAATAGATACACAGAGAGGAAGTTTTGAAGAAGCTTCTGTAACAATCTAATTGGCGAGTGTTATGTCTGTTTAATGAAAAAAAAAATGTGCTTACTATCTTTGGAATATCTTTAGTCTTATATTAATTCATTTTTATTGCATTTTACTAAAATATCACTTGGCCAATGACTACTAAAAAATTTTTAATGGTCCACAGAAAATTTGAGAGGTAGGAAAATAGACAATAATTTGAAAAATTATTCATTAAAAGATACCCCAAGAGGGCAAGCAATAGAATGGGAGAGAAGATTTGCAACATATCAGTCAAGGAAGCTTTATGTGAAAAAGAAATTCTACGTTATGTAAATAATCAATTCAAATCGATTAGAAAAATGGGCAAAAAACTTGGTCAGACACTGGAGTGAGGAAATGGCTAATGCTTGGTTAATATGTGGTAAGTGCTCGACCAGAGAAATGAACATTATAAATCACCAGAGATGAGTCACCAGATCGGCACGAAGGTAAAATCTCAAGATGCCCAAGGATGCTGGACAACCAAAACTCCCGTATACAGCTGGCGGGAGAGTAAACTGGTTAAAATACTTCAGAAAACTGTCAGGCAGCTTCTACTGAAGCTGAAGACACACCTACCCTGTGGGCAGCAATTCCACTCCCAGGAACCAGCAGAAATGTGTTCACATGTGAACCACATGATGTGGACGAGAAATCATGGCAGTGCAGTTTGTGACAGACACAACATGAAAACAAGCCAACTGTCTACCAGCAGACTGGAGAAATGGTGGCGTATTCACACTGTGGATTGTAGACAGCAGTGAAGACAACAAACCTCAGCTCAGGCAACAACGTGCATGAATCCTGCAGACAGGACAGTGTGCTAGTCTAGTTACGGTTCCCCCATGGGATGTGCAGGACATTCTAGGGACAAACTTATAAATTCAGTACGGTCATGGTGCTGGAGTCTTTCTCTTCTACAAAGCCAGCCTCTCCTTGGTACTCAGACATCATAGGGCTGGGGGTCAGAAAGGTGGTCCCTGAAGAAGTCTTGGGGTGAGAGAAGTCCTGTGAGCCCAGGGAACTGTTCTGGGTCTGGCACGAGGTCCGTGGTGTAGGAGTTGGGAGTGTGCAGGCCAGACCTGGCTGTGGCAGGAGGTGGCAATTTCTGCTACTGGGAAAATTCCCAAGGGGCTGGGTGGGATGTATGAATGCGCAGCTGCAGGAGCCTGGGACCTCCAGGCACACGATGATGGGGAGTGGGAACATCTGTGGATTCCTACTGGCTCAGTGTCCCCAAGGAATCCTTTTAGTCTCAACTCAATATTCAGACTCATATGACCGCCACAGGCTACAGGCCAGGGAGTGGAGCAAGGCAGCAGGGCAGTGGCAGGCAATTCTTGTCCACACAGCTGTCTACACAGCTGTCCTGGAGTTATTCTCTCTTGCCTCACTGTCCACCCCTGACACCCCTGCGATTGTTCAGGTGCCAGGGAATAGGACTCGCATGTGTGGCTGGACCCACCTTAGTTTACAAGCCCCGAGCCTCACAAGAGCCAATAGCTCCTGTCACAGCCCATAGCATAGTACTCAGGGTCTCCACAAAGTCATGCCTGGTCAGAAGAATCACCACAATCAGGGAAGCCCAAAGCTGGGATGCCTCCCTTATGTCGTAGGTGTTTATGATAGTCCTCCTGGCCCAGTTTACCAGAAGCACTGTTGTTTGATATCACAGCTGGCATTCCATCCCAATCTGGTTTCCAGGGAAATAACCTAAGGTCAACTCTTTCCTTATGGGAGAGGAGATGGTATCCTTCACCCCCCCCCGCCCCTCCCCCAGTCTCAGGAGATGAAGAGCTCAGTGGGGATCCACTGCATCTGAAGTGCTGCAGGAACACCCAGGTCTAGAACTCAGGGGAAAGGCCTAAAAGCCTCTTTGCAAAGGGACCTTGGTGGAGGCGAGCCCGTTACGTGTGTCTGTCACCAGCACACATGGAGCCGCTCTGCTCACAGCGTGAGGGCAGGTGGAGGTGGCCTAGCTCACAGGGCAGGGGGGTGGCTTACCTTTCCCGCAGGCCTGCACCAGGCCATACCACTCCCCACAGCTGTTACACAGCAAGGTGAAGGCGCTTTCGCGGTGGCCTGTGACGTGGCCTGGGGCACACACGTACAGCAGCTCGTCCCCCATCTCCAAGCCGGTGCGTCCCTGCAGGATGGTGTGTGGGAACGAAGGCGGGTCTCCGCACGGCTTCTCTGAGGAGAAGGAACCACAATCAGCTTTCCCAAACTGTGCAGAACTTTTGCAGCCTGGGAGAAAACAAACTCAAAAAACAACTCTCCCCAGCGGTGGGTGCCACCTGCAACCTGAACTGGGATCACAGGGGCTGTTTCTCCTTCACTCTGGCTTCTCCAGGGCCTGGCAGAAGGCCTGGCATAAAGGAAGCACTCAAGAACTATCTGTTGAATGAATAAATGTGATGTTAAAATACAATGTTGTATTTAAAAATTGCCAGGCAATGTTACCCTTTAATGTCTCCTTGAAAGGAGGACCCAGAGACATTTACCCAGAAGCAAGGGCCCTTTTCTGCCTTATTTACATAAGCAAACAGGTACTTGTTGTCAAAAGCTAAAATGTTACATACTGTAGAGTCGATTGGAGGTGCCTCTCCCCTCCTCCAACCTCACATGTGACCAGTCTGGTATATACAAATAAATACAGTCACAGATATAGACATACACGAACACACATACACAGGTAGAGAAACAGATACTGATACAGTTTGTGTGTATATGGTGTGTGGTTTTCAACACAAATGGGATTATATCGTATGTATTACTGAGTATCAGCTTTTATTTAAAAAACTATTTTTAGGGCAAATTTAGGTTCACAGCATAATTGAACAGAAAGTACAGATAGTTCCTATACTCCTACTCTCAAACTTGCACAAACTCCTCTATGATCGACATCCGGCACCAGAGGGGTACATTGTGACAACTGATGAACCAACATTGACATCTTACCCACAGTTCACACTTGGATCTGAAGATGGACAAGAGCCCCCACCTGGCCCTGGAACCTCTTCCTGTGCCTGCCCTCAAGCTGGCCACAGAGACAGTCTTGGGGCACACGGCCCAGGCCCCCTTTTCGCTCCCTGCCCTGGTTCTCCTGTGAGAAGTTTTCTGCTGGTGTGAATGAAAAAGGGGCCATAAACTAAACTTGACAAGCTCAGCGGGGACCACATGGCAGGCCTGACGAGCTCAGTGACCAAAAGTACCCATCAGGATAGTCTGATCATAAATTCCTAACTGGGCAGGTCATAGCGGGTAGTCACGTCCCAGGCCGGTAGCTTCCTTAGCAGAGGTCAGTCTGTACCTTAGGTGAGCTCTGTCCACTGTTTTTATGCATCTAGGATAATACACCTTGGGAATGGCAGAGTAATTTTCTTTTCTAGACTCCTCAAAGGCACAACTGTGGGCACCAGAGCACGAGACCACAGAACCCCTCACTGTTATCTCGTTCCCCACATACCATGTCTATGTGCTGCGAATGTTGATTAACTACCTCGTACCCATCGCTGTCAAAGAAATGTTTCTCCATTTTGCTTTTTATCCAATCCAGAGATTTCCCCAGCTTACTTTCTCCCGCTCCCTTAATCTACCACCTATGAATTTCATGTAACCCTCTCTCCATCTCCTTTGACTCTAATGTATAAAATAAGCTGCAAAACTGCCATTCTCCAGAGCATTTTCTCAATCCGTTGAGATTCTGCTTCTGGACACATTCTCAAAAATTTGACTCAAATAAAATCTCATAAAACTTTTCTATGGGTATGGACATTCTTTTGTCGACACTGGTATATATATTTTTATTGGAAATGAGCCTCTTAGAAATGAAAGGAGACTGGTTTGTATTAAAACTTATAAATTATTTACGAAGAATCTGTGGCTGATCCCTGAGGCAGCCACTAAGAGGCCCACCGAAGGCTTCGGCCAGTGAGGAAGCCCAGGTGAGGTGGGGAGGGCCCAAGCCTTCCTCTTTCCACACTGGCGAAAGCTTCCTGGGTTCAGCGCAGGTGAGACCCTTGGGCTCAGCGGTCCATGGGCCAGATCCATGTGGAATGACACTTTCATTGATATTAGTTGAGGAAAGAGGTTAATGGTTACAGGACCTGGGCCAACCAGGTCACACTCCCAGCCCCAAGGTGAGCAGTGGGCATTCTTGCTGTGGTCTGAAGCCTCCTCCTCCCTACCCGCTCCACCCCCTTGCCACCGTGTCCTCTCAGGTAGTTACAGATAGAAACAAGCCCATTTAAAATATAAAAAATATCTTAGTGGATAAGCCTAAAATTTCCCACCATTAAGGATGATGTTAGCTGAAGGTTTTTGTAGATGTTCTTTATCAAGCTGAAGAAGTTCAATTCTATTCCTGGTTGGCCGAGAGTTTTTATATAAATGGGGTCGGTTTTGTCAAATGCTTTTTCTGCATCTATTGATATGAACATGTGTTTTTTTCTTCTTTAGCTTGTTGATGCGATGGGTTACATTAATTGATTTTTGAATATTGAACCAGCCTTGCATCCCGCTTGGTTACAGTCTATAATTTTTTTTATATATTGTTAGATTCAAATTGCTAATTTTTCGTTGAGGCTTTCTGCACCTATGTTCATTAGATATTGGTCTGTAGTTTTCTTGTAATGTCTTTCTCTCATTTTGGTATCAAGGTAATGCTGGCCTCAAAGAATGAGTTAGGGAGTATTCCCTTTGCTTCTAACTTCTGGAAGAGATTGCAGAAAATTGGTATAATTTCTTAAATATTTGGTAGAATTTACTAGTGAACTCATCTAGGCCTGGTGATTTCTGTTTTGAAAGGTTATTAATTACTGATTTAATTTCTTTCCTTATATGCTGGAACAGAAACTAGAAGTCTTTTTTTTCTCTGGTGTTTTATAGCTCTTTCCACATTAGTGCTATAAAGTACCTCAGTCTTTTGAAAGGCTACATTACAGCACACATTATTTAATCATTACACTGACATTTATGTCGGTTCCAAGTTTTTACTATTATAAATAGTGCTACAATGAACAGCTCACGTGTGCATTTTTGTACATATTTTATTTTGTTAGGATAAACTAGAAATGGAATTGCTGTGTCAAAATGATGCAGTGAGACTTTTTTTTTCAAAATAAAGAAATAATTTTAAATCCAAATTTCCTCTCCTAATTTTTTACGTTAGAAAAGAAAGCCTTTAGTCCTTCTGCAGTCAAATTATCTAAGACGTATATTGCTTTAAAGAAGATATGGTAAGAAAAGATGAAAATAGAAAATATGACTTGTGCTTTAAGCCACTTCGATTGGCTTTACAGCTTGTAGTTTTTGGTAGCACTTTCTCAAAGAAAGTCGATGCTGTGCATGTTCTTTCACAGGAGAGATTTTTGAATGAAAAAGGGTATGGCTGTACTTTAGAAGTCAGCATAGAATGTTGCATTTTAACCAAAACTGCCTTGACTGTAGCCCAGGAGATCAGCTTTTAATTTCACTTTTGTGGCAAGTAGGGACAGGCAGCCATCTGAAAGTTGCCACAAATCCAGGGGCACCCCACTGAGCAGAGAGGCATCACCCTTGGGTTCAATTGGTCTGAGCAGGCCATCCTGAGAAGAACGGACCAAAGTCATCATCAGCTTCAAGTAAGGCTGGGCCGAATTCCAGCTGGTATCTCAGGGGCAAAGGGCTCTGTCTCTCTCTCCACCACCCTCAGCTGCCTATGACTCACGCTGGATGTCCCAGTCTTTCCCCCTCTTATTGGTTTCTAGTTTTGGGAAACTGGAAGCTCCTCACCAAACACTCACTCTTAAAAAACTGGTAAATACTTTCCGTCTCACACAGCTCTATCTGTGAGATTCAACACCAACTCTTTGGAAGGAAAATCCAGGAGCAGGATAACTGTTTTGAGAATAAAGAGGAACTTCAGGCCAAATTCACAACCTACCAGACTCATGGGATCTTCTCCCTCAGATGTAACTTCCAGGATGGCATGGGCTAGATTCTGGCTCAGGAAAACCGCAATAACGCTCCTGAAAGTCTGGGCCCACACATCATGTATTTCTAGATTTCCCACAAATATACAAGACAGGAAACATACTGCTTCTTAGATGGTGTGATTTCAGAAGCTACAGGACAACAATCCATGCATTAACACAAGTGTTTGCTGAAAACACCACCCATATCCAGATGCGACTTGAATTAGTTCCTTTTACTAACCTTCCCATCTTGAACCTTAAGAGGGAGCTATGGAAAACAGCTGGCTATATACTTGGACTCTATTCTCTTCCTTAAAGAAACTTACATTTGGGCAGTCTTTACGGCTACTTCTCAGTTTTCCCACAGGTAAGGGTTATGGTTTGTGGAGTTCTTAGACTTTAGAGCTGGGTTTCGACAGTTTCAACATAAAGAGCAATTTCTATTATTTTCCTTTCTAAGGAAAGAGATTATATAAGAGATCTTGCCTATCAAACAAATAGTACTAATAAACCGACTCATATTTTCAAATTAAAAGGATGCATTTGCTTGCCAATCAGAGCTTCTGATAATCAGCTTCCATAGTTTAGAACGCATATGAAAGTTAATGCTTTTATTATGAGAAATTTTAAGACTTCTATCATGACTTTTGAAATTCTAAAGAGCCTGCAAACCCTCACTATTATTACACAAACCAAGGATGTAGAAATTCTGACACAAATGCTTCATCTTTTCTCCTTTTCAGTTTACTTAAGCTATGTTAAGAAGTTGTCTCTTGTGCCCACCTGCCCAGCTCCCCCCACACCCTGCTCTACCTAGGACAGAACCAGCATTGTCCTCCCCATTATACTCAATTTTATCATTAGTTCTCAAACTAATGGCTCCAGGGAACCTTCTGGGGTGAAGGAAATGTTCTATATCTTGACTGATTATGAGTGATTTTAATTTTCTTTATACTTTCTACTACAATGACCACATGTTCATGTTTATAATTAGAAAATATATTTAAAAATGTAAACTGAAGCTAAGGACACCTACTAATTCTGGTTGTTACCAGAATTAAATGTTATGCTTTGCCCACTGCCTGCTACATGCCTGGACCTTAATTAGGAATATAAATGAACACAAGTTCCATTTCCCAAGTTAGTTGGAGACTGATGGTCTTTTGAATCATTCTTCAGGTGATGATGGTAACTGAAGGTCCATTTCTCTCAAACCAAATATAGCCAAATGCACGATGGCGGAACAGGAATTGAGGAGGAACAAGGGCAAAACAAAATGGTTCACCAGAACCATCAGAACATGGACCCACTGGCACCATTTCTTGGGCTGCTCAGACATTCGGTGCTCCTGGAACTGACTATGCATTAAGACTGATCTAGCATGGGATTTTAGAACGGAAGACCTCAGTCCTGGGAAGCAAGACCTAGTGCTATGCAGTCCTGGGTGTGTGGGTGGCAGGGGAGGGGAAAATTGCTTATTGTGGTGGAAATTGTCTGCAGCCACTTCAGACCTGCCCAGCAGGTCTACTCAAGCCTCCAGCGATGTTCTAGACCCAACTCGCTCTCCCGAAGTACTAGCACCACGGCTTGCCCATGGCTAGTCTCCCCAAACCACTGCGATCTTAGATTTCTAGCCCTTGCTCCACCTGTTCTGTCTGTCTGCAATGTCCTCTCCTCCCTTCCCTAACCATTATTTCCAGGAACAAAATCCTCAAATTCTGCCTCAACTGCCACTGCTACAAGAAGTCTTGCTAATTAGCTTCCTCCTTTGTGTCATGGAAATGCATTCATCTCTTCCTTAACCTTATATACTATCAACTCCCTGACAATGGCAGTGATATCTCTATGTCCGTCCGTCCATCCATCCATCCATCCATCCATCCATCCATCCATCCATCCATCCATCTGAAGCACCCACAAGTCTGAGCTCTGAACTCTGCATTACCCTGGATAAGTAAATAAATGGTCAATGCCTGGTCAGTGGCATTGAGCTCAGAATTTTCCACACTCCCTTGGGAGATCCTGAACTAAATAAGTCCTATCAGGTGTTCAAAGCATTGCAATTGGTTCCAGTCTCCTAATTGCTGCTGGAGAATTTCCCCAAAGCTGATCCTGAGGAATGGGGCCTCCTCCAGGAAGACCTGGGAATTGGCTACTCTCCAAAATTCCTGATGGCTCTCAAGAGGAGCATCCAGCTCTCCTTTTGATGACATAAAGAACGGAAATGATTCCATTTCTGTTTTCAAGGAAAGTATAGGCAATTGTAAAGTATGCAGGGAAAATGGAATTCAGTGCTTAGAAGGTGAGGTGGGCTGGTGGGGAAGAGCAGCCCGGCCAGCCTTGGCTTAGCAGTGGGGAAACAGAAGCGCACCCGGAGTGAAGCCTTGTGGGTACTCTCCAGACCCCACGCCGTCGACCCTAGACAAGCTGCCAAGAGAAGCAAAGGCAGAAAATCCAAGTGGAGGCAGCTTATTTCATCAGCATCCAGTTGGTTAAAAATAACTTTACTTATTAGTTTAAGTGAGATCACCACAGGACTGGAAATTCGCTCTTCGTGAAACAAAAATACTGGAAGGAAAACGAGAAAAGTCTACATTCATGATGCACTTTATTTCAAAAAAAGAAAACACAGGAGGAAGCTGTCTGAACATCCCACAGGCTCCGTTTTCCTTCTGGGCTCTTTATAAGGCACTTGTCTGCTGTTTGGGGAGTTAGCACATTTCATTGTTCCTGTCTTGCCAAAGAAAAGCAGCAGCACAGAGCTAATGTGAAGCATATGGCAACCTTTGGAGATGAAACTGCACCAGGGCATATGACGAACCAGACCTCATCTACACTCCGGCAGGAACCCCAAGGAACTGCCTGTTCTCATCTCCCGCGAAGGCACTACACCTTCCTTCAGCACACAGACTTCCCTGTTGACTGTTAACTCCACTGAGGAAAAGCAGCAGCTCACTGAGCAGGATGAGGACTGTGTGAGAGCAGTTTAAATGCTCTTTCTAAAGGATGGATGGCAGAGGAATAGAGACTGAGTTCCCTCTGAACGACCTTGGGAACCCATCCTGCTTTTCTAGAAAGCCCAAGAGAGAGCAGCCCTCAGCATGCACTCCTGAGTCCCCTGCATGCCCATCTGAGGCTTCCTCACGGTTCAGGCCCCTGTAGGACCAAGATTCTAGTCTCCTCCACATAGCCCCTCCCACTGAGTTGGAGGTGACAGGAGGCCAGGCTCAGACAAATTGCTCTGGGATCAGAGCTTTTGAGCACTTTTACTCTAATGAACCACACACAGTGCTTGCTCTACTAAAACGGCATCAATCTTCACATATGTTGACAGGCATCCTGAATCTGCTTCACATGTTGGCTCCCCATGACTCAAGGGTTTTTTTGGGGGGGTTGGGGTTTTTTTTTTCCTGCTGTTGTTTTTGGAGGAATATGTAGACCTTTTTAGAAATTTTTATTTTTATATAATTTCAAAGTTACAGAAATATTGTAATAAGGAACTCCCATAATACCCTTTATCCAGATTTACCAATGTGTTTTCATTTTGCCTCATTTGTTTTATCATTCTTCTAGATAGATAGATATAGAGACAAATATACATCATATACATACATACATATGTGTACATATATAAATGCATATTTATGTATATCGATACTGTCATTCTTTTCTTAACCATTTGAGAGTAAGTTGTAGATATGATGTCTGTTTGTCCCTAAAAATCTTGAATTTAGCTAATATTTTCTCATGATCAGATTCAAGTTATGCATTTTTGGCAGGACTACTACTGAACTGAAGTTGTGTTCCTCTGAGTGCAAAACATTAGGAGGCACATTATATCGGTTTGGCACTAACTCAATTTTGGAGTCATTATCATGGCTTTGACTCTGGTGCCCTATAGGATGTAAAAGGTTGTTTCCAACCTCTGGCTTCATGCAGCACGATTGTGGGCAAAAGGGGCACACATTTGCATGCACACAATCTGTTTGAAAGCCAGTGAGGTGGGAAGCCCAGGTTATCCTGTTGGATGATGAGAAACATGTGACTCAGTCATCCCCATCATCCTAGCCAACAGCCAGCCAACTCCCAAAAGCAAGGCCACCTAAACTAGCTGCTGACTGTAGACCCGCCAGTGAGCCCAGCCGAGGCCAACAGAAGAATAAATTGCTGGTCCAAAAAAATAGCGAACTAAATAAATGGTTGTTTAAAGCCACTGCCTTTTGGAGTGATATGTTAAATAGCAAAAGCTAATTGATACCTCTTACTTATCAGGGAAAAGAGCTAAGACTCAGAAGCTCTGTATATTCATTTGAGATCACTGAAGAAAAAAGGTCATGCTGTTTTTCTCCTTCAGGGATCTGAACCTTTGCCTATTGTTTGGGAGTCAAAGGATTATTTTAATTGTACGTTTGTTTGTTTGTTTGTTCGTTTTTAAAACATGGATATTCTCCCTAGGACTCTGCAGAGCAAGGCTACATCCTTCATTCACTTGATTGGACAGATGGTATCAGGAGGCTCTCACAGACTCTTCTATAGACCAAGCAAATGAAGAACTCTTCCTGGAGGGAGACCCCACAGCAGCAGAGAGACCTATCACTAACAAACATCTAACAAGTACCAGCCACGGCCTTAGGGTCCACTATGGCTCTTTGACTTATTAACTCCTCTGACCCCTTCCCTGGAGATAAGGATTTGGTGCTTCTGGGATGCAGTTGAGGGTTCATATTTCTAACAAGTTCATCTGGTAATTTTTATCATCAGAGAGATTTGGGAAACTCTGTATGAGAGATATGGCTCTCAAACTAGGCTACATGTTAAAATCGCTGGAGAGCTTTTAAAAAATCCTCCCGATGTTCTGAACATTTGTATCAGAATATCCAGGGCTGGTACCCAGGCATCAGTATTTCTTAAAACTTCCCAGATGAGACCAGTGTACAGCCAAGCAGTACCTGTGCTGATGTCTATGACTGATGAGTAAGCAGTTGGCTTTCTCTCCATCTGCATGAACATTCCCTTTCAAATGCTTGTGTTTCTGATAACGAAGGTGTACTTATTTCAGTGTATATGAAATGCTGCCTTGGAGTCTCTGCTACGGTTTTCTCCTCATCACTCAGCTGATTTCCCAGAAGGAAGCTGAATTCCTTCACCCCAGGAGCAGTTTCCTTTTGGGGAAAAAGGATTTTTTTTTCTTTCACCATGAAGAGAGACAGAAAGGCATGCCGTATCAGCAACCATAGCAGATGCTGTCAGGGGATGCCCGTATTGCCTAGATACCTTTGTCACTATAGACCCCTGTGCCTCTTGGTTGGAGTGTGGCACTCAGGCTACTGGAAGCCTTTGCCCGTGCACATCAAAATCCGGAAAAGCCTGGGAATTTACAGCTCCCTGAAGCAGCCCTTAACCAATGACTGACAGGCGTAGTGGTAAAAATACTCTTATTCTCTCAGTCCTGATCTGGAAATCTATGGTGACCTACACTGTCTCTAGAGATCCCCTGCAGAATGAAGTCAAAGTTATCCCCCACCTCACCACCACTGTGGCCTTTACTTAGTATTTTACCATTGCTTGGTCCACTTCCTTTCCTTGTCTACTCCCCCACTGCCTATTGGCTCTTCTTTGGACGGATTTCCTGATATACCATATTTCAGTGAATCTGCTTCTAGAGAATGCAACCTAAGATAGCAACTCCCACAAGCAGACCCTCCAGAAACTTTCTAAAGGCTCTGGCACTGACCTTCATCCTTAATACAAAGGGCATTGTATGTGCCACCAGGAGCTGGGTTGCTCTCAATTTTCACGTCAACAGCTCTCGTGATCTGCTGCTCACCACTCCCCTTGCCACACACGGTTGTCCTGAAACAGATAAAGAAGACACTGGATTAGGAGAACTAATTAAACATGGAAAAGAACATTCTTTTCTTTTGTCAGCTTAGAATCAGCAGACATTTTTCCGATTCACAAGCTTTGGTGGAAAGCCTCAGTATGAGAACACTTTCCCCAAACAAAAGTCTAAATTCAGGAACACATAGGGATGCTGGAGTTGAGGTCATATGTATCAATTCAAGTTTCAGAGGAATACATTGTTCCTCTGAATACATTCTAGTATGTGTGTTTACTATTATTATTCTTTTCTCTTTATGGGTTCTCTTCTTTATGAGGGGGTTTGTTGTGCTGTTCTTGTTTATATTTCTTATTATGGATCATTAACTCATTAACCTTAAGCCTTTGTCCTCTTCTAACACAAGCATTTTAATGCTTAACAATTTCCCTCTAGGTATAGCTTTAGAAGTATCCCATAGGTTAAGTATGTTATGTTTTTAATATAATTCAGTTCTACTTACATGCTAATTTCCATTATAATTGATTTTTGTCCCATGGTTTATTTAGGAATATTTTTTCTAAACAGCAAATAGTAGAATTTTTAAAAATCCATCTTTTTTTCCTAATTGGAGCATCGCATCCACTTAATTTAATCACCGATCTCTTTGAATTTCAATCTGCCATCTTTCTATTAGTTCCGCACATTCTTTCTTCCGTTCGTCCTCTTTTTTTCCCCTGATTTTGATTGTTTTAATTTGGCGGGGGGCAGACTCTTTTTCCTTTGTATTGGTTTGGAAGGATTATATCTTTTTTTTCTGAAATGTAAAAATCATTTTTATTTAGCAGTGGAATAAAATCACACATACTCATAATCACATGGAAGGAAGCCCACTAGACTAATGTGGTCATTCAGCAAGCAAAGAAATGGAGAACAGGAACATGAAATCACTAACCAAAATCCCAGGGCTGCTGACAAAGGCAGAACCGAAACCTGGGGCTTTATCTTCCCTTTTACTATTGTTTTAGCAGTTACCCTAAGAGTTATAACATGCTTTCCAGACTTCTTAAAATTTAATACTACTTTTACCCTCCTCCCAATGACACAACTTAAAATCCTTAAAATACTATGTATTAACATATTTAAAATACTTCCTGACTTAGATACTATTTTTTTAGTGTTTAGTATTTGCTGCTTTTTGTAATTATATAATTTTAATTTACTTCCCCTCCAACCCCATTTACCCTTTCATCCTTGTTTACAGCTCCAGCCTTCCACTTACAATTATTTTCCTCCTGCCTGAAGAGCACCCTTTAGTGTTTCTTTTAGTGCTGGTCCGATATAATGAATTTTTCTCACCCTTTGTCTGTCTAAAATGTCTTTATTTTACCTTTCTTCTTGGGAGATATTTTCACTGGGTATAGTACAGAATTCCAGGCAGTAATTTTCTTTCAGCAGTTTGAAGGTATCATTGAATTGTCTTTGGTCTTTGTTAGTTTATTTTTACTCTTTCTTTCTCTTATTACTTTCAATATTTTTTTCTTCATATTAGACTCTCATAAGTTTTACCATGATGTGCCAAACTGTGAATTTCTTTTTATTTGTTTTACTTGGGTTTCGTAGGGCTTCTTGAGTCTGTGCCCGGATATTTTTTTTAAGTTGTGGATAAGTCTCACGTTGCTTTTGCTCCATCTTCCTTCTCTTCTTTTAGAATTCCAATTGCATGCATCTTCTTCGCCTTTTACCCTTCTACATTTTTCATCTTCTGTTCTTTATTCTGAATTTCTTCTTCTGAAATATCTTCCAGTTCACAAATATTCTCTTTGGCTTTTTTTAATCAGCTGTTAGATATACCCATTAAGTTCTTAAGTTCAGTTATTGTATTTTACATTTCTAGGGTTTCCATTTTGTTATTTTTATAGTTTTCCATCTTCTGCCAAAATCCTCCTTGCCTTTTGCATCCTTGAACAGTTTAAAGATTTAAAGTCTGCATCTATCAATGCTAATACCTAGAGTTTCTATTGGTTATTTTTATTCTTGTTGCCTTGACTTCTCACATGACTGGTTATTTTATATTGTGTGACAAATCCTATATTTGCTAAAATTAATTGTGGAAACCAATTGCCTAGGATAATGCTGTCTTCTTCTAGAGATGATTTTTAAAATCAATTCTGCTAGCTATCTGGAGCACTGAAACTCCAGTATAATCTCAATCCAAATTCATGGCTTTGGAGGATTCGAAGCGATTCTTCAGCTCCTCTGAGGGCCTGCCGCTTACTTTTAGTCCTGGGGTACATTCCTACAACATCCCAACCCAAAGCAAAAGGACTCCCCAGATGCCTGCCTATAGAAAACCTGAATTCAAATCTGTCTTCCTGGTTCTACAAGGCTATCTAAATTGCCAACCAGCTTTTCTGCCACCATTTATGGAATGTGAAAAGGCTCCCAGGAAACAAGTGGCCCCAAAGTCTGTATTCACTGCTCTAGATCTCCGTCTTCCTATAGATTTATGTATATACTCAAAATAAATTCATAGAGCTATAGAGCATATCTACTAAAAATCTACTATGCCATCAATTGCAAAATGCACTATGCATTTAATAACTTGTTTGGTAAGGGAGATGGGATGGGTGTGATGGAAAGACCCATGGTGAAATGCACATAATAATGGTCAGATGCTTGGTTCTGGTAACATTAAAAAGGAAAACCTGTTTTTAATGTGTCGTGTAGTAAACATATCAAGTAAATATATTCACTTTATAAAGAAATACCATCTTAGCAATGCAGAGATCCACTAAGATGTCTTAACACTTTACAGCAAACCCAGACAGAATGGCCTTTCCAGTGACTCAGTCCTGATTTGTAATGCCTGGGAGACCGAAGCCTGGCTCTAAGCTGGCTCTTCAGAATCTCTGAATACCCTGGTTATCTGATGCAATGATGGTAACAGAGTTATGAAAAATATTTATACTTGACTACATAATGGAAACATGCATGCGCAGGGCATATTTTGTCTATTGAGGAACCTGGATATAAAAATATAAGGCAGAGAGGGTCACAGTTCCAGATGCGCCGAAAAGATCTGGATGTAGCCTCAGTTGTCCTATTTATTCAATTGCTGCTTCACATGTGGCACATGTGGAGACATGAGTCAGCATGGTTGTGTGTTTTCTATGGCCATCTGCCAGCCAGACATCTTCAAGGTTATTATCAACCAAAGTGTTCTTGGAGCCCATTTTACTCTTTCACATTCCTGTGGCATGAAGGAGAAAGCAGAATGGCTCTTGCCTTCTCTGAGTATGACTAAAGAAGCAGTTAGCAGCACTAATGGAAAGTTTTTTTCCTAGCCGGCCACAAGATTTTCTTCTCCACAAGGATTCCATGGGTCAGGAACTCAGACAGGGCACAAGAGAAATGGCTTGTCTCTGCTCTATAAAGTGTAAGGCCTGAGCTGGGGAGACTCATAGGCTGTTGCAACTCAATAGCTGAGACTCACCTGGAGGCATCTTCCAGACTCACCTGGAGGCATCTTCCCTTACATTTCTGGCAGATAATGCTGGCTATCGGCTGGGACATCGGTTGGGTCTATTGGTGAGAGCAATGACATGGGGCATTTCCATGTAGGCTGGGCTTCCTAACAGCATGGCTATCTCAGGATAGTCAAAACTTCTTACATGGCATCCCAAAAGTGAGTGTCACCAGAAATCCAGGGATGGATTTCTCTGACCTAACCTCAGAAGTCACACAGTATTGCTCCTGCTATATTCTATCAGTTGAGGCGATACTATCCTGTGCCTGATTCAAAGTGCCTGATTCGATGGGAGCAATGTGAAAAAATTTGTGACCATATTTTAAAACCTCAATACCGTATTCCTATTCATATATATGCAGATGCACATCAACAGGGAAAAACAGATAATGAATATATACCAAACAGTTAAGAGTCATTACGTCTGGGGTAAGGAAGAAGAGAGAAACTCACTTTGTATTTTACACAGATATGGATTATTTGAAAATTTAACAAGCATGTATTATTTTTGTAACTTAAAAAGGAAATTCAAAATAACAAAGTAAGGTGGGAGGGTGCGACAGAACTCTAGAAAAATGTTTTTATATGAGAACTCTAACCAAGAATGCACTGGAAGCCACTGCCCACTGCATTTAGCCTAACCTGGCACCTCAATCGAACAATTATCGAGTCCCCATATAAGCCCTGGTGGGGCAGCCGGATCAGCTGGAAGTACAGCCTCTCCCAGCTCGCCAGACTTACCCCAGCGAGCCATCCGCAAGCCAGCCCGTGGCGCACACAGCGAAGGCACAATCCTGGACCACTCTCCGCAGCTCCTCTGCAGACACCAAGTGAGCGCCCCTGCTCTTGCAGGAAAGCCGAGCTGCCTCCAGTTCCAGGCCCTGAGAGCCATTCCGAGACTCCAGCACAAAGAGCTTCCCTGTGTGGGGACAAGCATGAACACAGGCTGACTCCAAGATCCACGGGGATTTAATCTCAGCAAACTTACTCGCTGGCAGACACCTGCCAGAACTGTAGTTTCCAACTTGCCCTGAAGACCCAAGTGCAGCAACTACCCTATGGCACTCATCCCCGGGACCAGGTGATGACAATCATACCGGTATTTTAATCCTTTTTTTTTTCTCTCATCTTCTTTAAAAAAACAAAACAAAACAAAAAAACAACCAGAATTAACCATCTGCTCCAGCATGTTTATCTGGATAAGCCCTTCGAAAATTCTTTTTAAATGAAATCTTACCATTTGCAACAACATGGATGGACTTAGAGGGTATTATGCTAAGTGAAATAAGTCAGACAGAGAAAGACAAATACCATATGATTTCACTTATATGTGAACAAAATAAATGAACAAACAAAATGAAAACAGACTCATAATTAAAAAGAACAAACATGATTGCCAGATGGGGGGCAGTTGAGGGGCTGTGTGAAAAAAGTGAAGAGATCAAGGAGTACAAATTGATAGTTACAGAATAGTCACGGGGATGTAAAGTACTGCATAGGAATACAGTCAATAATATTGTAATAACTATGTATGATGTCAGACGGGTGCTAGACTAATTGGGGGGATCCTTTCGTAAATTATATAAATGTCTAACCACTCTGCTGTATACCTGAAACTAATATAAAATGATACTGAATATTAATTCTAATTGAAAAATAAAAATTTAAAAAGTTGCTGATGGTCAAATCATAAACTAAATAAATTAGGGGTTGGCAAACTATAGCCTGAAGACCAAATCCAGTTTGCTGCCTGATTCTGTAAATAAAGTTTTATTAAAACATCAAAAAAATTCTTTTTTAAAAAATGTTTTATATAAAAGCTCAATGTCCTAGGTTCTTCTGAGTTGGGTCACTTGGTGTCCAAGTCACTGATTCAGGCCTCGGCTCCACCTTCCTTCGCCTGCCCCAGTGCTTGGGTAATCACATATATAACAGGTTGCTTCTCTTTTCTGTCCCACTGTTTCAAGACATTATCAGGCCCTTCCCACAAAAAGTTCACTTCATTTCTTTCCAACTGGACCAGACAGCAGTGGCCATGTCTGGGGCACCCTGGCTTCCATCAATATGTAGGCATGTAGCAACATCAAAACGCGGTTGACAGTTGAGTGGAATAAGACCATGAATTCAGATAGAGGTGGATGCTGAGACTGAATGCAAAAGAGAGCTTTAGGCAAGAGAACCACAGCTCAAGAGGGATCACTGTGATCCCTAAGAGCCTACTGGATGATGCAATGCCTTGGGTGGCCCTGCTGAGTTCAAGGTAAAGGCAGGGGAGAAAAAGCCCAGTAAGAATGAGATATTTCATTTCCATCTGTCAGCAAAATTATCATACTATATTGATTTTATTAAAATAAGATACTTAACTGTCATCTACTATAAAATCACTATAATAAATATAATAATCTCCCTAGCTTTAACGCAAAAGTTATAATATATTTTTTCACAATAAATATATCTGTGCTCCCTTAGACTTGGTGGAAATGTACAGTACATAACCTGAATCACTACACTTGGTTGGCCCTGTCTGGAGAAGCAAGCACGCACCCAGGATGCTTTTTTATTAATGGTATGTACCTACCTGGAAAAAAAAATGTTGTGAAATTAATCTGAGGTTTTGATGGCCAAGCCCCTGAGCAAAGGGGATGAAAGTGAAGCCTGGGGCTCGCATGAAGTAGGGAATCTGATAGACCTTCCCTCCCACTCCACCACCATCTCTCACACACACACACGCACGCATGCACGCACACACATGAATACATGAAGCTGTGACTCTGAAGGGTTAAACTCTCGGGATAAGAGTGAATAAGAATAAATACCCGCTTTCTTCATTCACAAGACACTGTTGGAAGAGTTGCCTTGGTGCTAGGACCCCAAGTGCTAATCCTCATTGGAAACTGCAGTCTTAACAAAAATGGATTCAGCTTAGCGTGGCCTGAGAATAACATATATCCACACACCTGGTAGGAACAAATACAAATCCTCTTTGGAGAAAAGGAAAAAAGAAATTCTCCTGGGCATCAGAAAAACCCCATACAAATATTTTTTCAAAGTCAATGAAATCAGTGAAAAGCTATATAATGCAGCTAACTGGATAAGGAAACAAGATACCATGAGTGAAAAGCAACAGATACAACATGCAGCAGAAATTGACCTAAAAATAAGTTTGAATACTGGTATTAACAGGCATAGGTTATAAAACAATGATGATTACTATATTTAAAGAAATAAAAGACTAGTTTGAAAATATTTGAAAAGAACAGGAAAGTGTAAAATATGGCTTAGCTGATTTGAAAAAGAATCAAATAGGTCTTCTAGAAATAAAAAAAAATGCAGTGATCGATTGAAAATGCAAAGAATGCTTTTGGCTGCATATCAAACACAATTGAACAAAGAAATTATTCTTGAAAAAGAAATCATCCTAAATGTAATGAAGAGACAAAAAAGATGGAAAATATTAAAATAATAAAGAGACATGAAAGTAAGAGTAAGGATTAACATGTAATTTAATCAGAATTCTCAGAGAGGAGAAAAAAATGAGGTGGAAGCGATATCTGATGACAAAATACCTGAGACTTCTAAATAGCTGATAAATACTCCAAATACATATTGAATATGTCCAATAACAAATTCCAAGGTAGAAAAAAAAATCTATAAGGAGACATATGCTAGTGATGCTACCGAACGGTAGAGGCAGAGAACATTGTCAAAGCAGACAGAGAGAAGGGATAGAATAATTTCAAAGTAGCAACAGCTAGCCTGATAGTTGACTTTTAAAACAGTAGTAATGGAAGCAAGAATATAGTTATTATCAGAAAATAGCTGCAAATTTAGAATTCTAGAATTTCTCACCAACTGAGTTTCTTTCTAGAAAGTACTAAAAGAAGTATTTCGGCAGAGAAAATTATTTGAGCGGCAAGATGGAATGTAAAGGGAAAATCAATACATGGTTAAATATAAATGAATACTGATTATATGAAATGGCACCCAGTAACAGCAAAATACACATCCTTCTCAAGTGCATGTGGACCACTCTTCAGGATAGACCATATGTTAGGTCATAAAATAAGCCTCAATAAATTTAAAAGGACTAAAATTGCACAAATTATGTTCTCTAATTACAATGGAATGGAATTAGAAATTAATAACAGAAATAAATTGGGAAATTCGTAAAGAGGTAAAATAAATCAATGCACTCCTAAATAACTGATGAGTCAAAGGAGAAATCACAAGTGAAATTAGAAAATACTTTGAGATGAATGAAAACAAAACATATCAAATCTTATGGGATGCAGCTAATGCACTGCTTAGAGGGAAATTTATAACTGTAAATTCCTACATTAAAATAAGAAAAAGATCTCAAATAAAAATCCCATCTTTCCACTTTAAAACATTGGAAAAGAAGAGCAAACTAAACTCAAAGCAAACAGAAATGAAGAGGAATAATAAAGATTAGAGCAGAAATTAATGAAATAGGAAAAAAATCAATAAAACCAAAAGTTGGTCTTTGGAAAGAGCAACAAAATCAACAGACAGTTAGCTAAAATGACGAAGCCATAAATAAATAAGTCAATAAATAAATAAATGAGTCAAATTACTGAAATCAGACATTACTCTGATATTACAGAAATACAAAGTGTTATAAAGCACTACTATAAACAACTGTATTCCAACAAATTAGATAACTCGGATTAAATAAAAAATTCCTAGAAAGACAAACTACTCAAGAAGAAATAGGAAAATCCGAATAGACTTTTAATAAGTAAAGTGATTGAATTAATAATTTAAAAATTATCCACAAAGAAAAATACAGGTTCAGATGGTTTCATTGCTGAATTCTACCAAACATATAAAGAGGAATGAATACCAATTCTCCACAAACTCATCTAAAAAATAAGACAGAAGGTAACAACACCTCCCAACTTATTCTATGAGGCCCTGATTGCCCTGAACCAAAACCAGATAAAAGGCATTACAAGAAAAGAAAACTACAAGCCAACGTCTCTTTGGAATATAGACACAAAAACCCTCAATGAAATACTAGTAAACCAAATCCAGCAACATAAAAAAGGAATTATACACCATGACCAAGTGGGATCTATCACAGGAATACAAGGTTGGTTTAACATTCCCAAATCAATTAATTCCCGTATCAATAGAATAAAATACAAAAACTACATGATCATCTCAATAGATGTAGAAAAAAGTACTTGATGAAATTCAACATCCTTTCATGATAAAAAAAAAACTTCAACAAACTAGAAACAAAGAGGAATTTCTTCAACCTTGATAAAAAACATCAACAAAATCTCATAGTTAACGTCATACTTTATGGTGAAAGACTGAGTGTTTTCCCCTAAGATCTTAGTCAACAAGGATGATTGCTTTGCCACTTCTATTCAACATTCTATGAGTGATTTTAGCCAGGCAATTAGGCAAGAAAATGAAATAAAAAGTACCCAGACTGGAAAGAAGAAGTAAAACCAACTCCATTTGTAAATGACATAATCTTGCATCCTGAGGAATCCACTAAAAAACTACTATAACTAGTTAAGACAGGTTACAGTATATAAGATCAATATACAAAAATCAATTGCATTTCTCTACACTAGCAATGGATAATCCAAAAATGAAAGCACAATTCTATTATAATAGCACCAAAAAGAATAAAATACTTAAATTAAATTTAACAAGTGTAAAATTATACTCTGAAAGCTACAAAACATAATCAAAGGAAATTAAAGACCTAAATAAATAGAAAGACACTTCATATTCAAGAATATGAAGAAAACTTAATATTGTTAAGATGGCAATGCTCCCCAAATAGATCTACAGATTCAGCACAATTTCCATCAAAATCCCAGCAGTTTTTGTTGTTCTTAAAAGTCATATGGAAATTCAAGGGTCCCAGAATAGCCAAAATAAGTTGCAGGTCTCACACTTCTTGATTTCAAAACTTACTACAAAGTTATAGTAATCAAGACAATGTGGAACTGGCATTAAAACAGTTATATATATATACATATATAATTGAGATTCCAGAAACAAATTTTCACATTTACAGTCAATTGATTTTCAACAAGGAGGTCAAGACCATTCAATGGGGGAAAGAAGAGTCTTCAAGAAATGGTACAGGGACAACTGGATAGCTGCATGCAAAAAAACAAAGTTGAACTCCTGCCTCACGCTATCCATAAAAATTAACTGAAAGTGAATCAAAGACCTAAATATAAGAGCTAAAACTATAACTCTTAGAAGAAAACATAGGAGAAAATCTTTGTGATCTTGGATTATACAATGGTTTCTTAGATATAACACCAAAAGCACAAGCAATCGAAGATATAACACCAAAAGCACAAGCAATCAAAGAAATAATTGGACATCATCAAAATTAAAAACTTTTTGCTTTGAAGGACTAAATCAAGAAAGTAAAAAGACAACCCACAAAATGGGAAAATATTTTGCAAATATATATATGAAACTTCTATATAGAATAGGTAAAGAACTTCAACTCAACAAAACCAAAAGAAAAAACAAACAAGCAATCTGATTAAAAAATAGACAACTTGAAAAGATATTTCTCCAAAGAAGATATGCAAATGGCCAATAGAACATAAAAAGATGCTCAACATCACTAATCATTACAAAAACGCAAATCAAAACCACAATGAAATAGCACTTCAGGACTATTAAGATGGCAATTAAAACTAGAAAATAACGAATGTTAGCAAAGATGTAGAGAAATTAAAATCCTTACGCATTGCTGGTGGGAATGCAAACGGTGCAGCCACGGTGGAAAACAGTGTAGTGCAAAAAATTAAACATAGAGTTACCATATAATCCAACAATTCCACTTCTAGGTAGATGCCCAAGGAGGTAAAAGCAGAGATTTGAATAAAATTTGTACTTGTTCATAAAACATTATTCACAATTGATGTAGAGGAAAGCAACCGAAATGTCCATGGACAGATGAATAAATTAAGAAAATAAGGTATATGCCTATAATGGAATATTGATTAGCCTCTAAAAGGAAGGAAATTTTGATACATGCTACAACATGGATAAACCTTGAAGACATTATATAAAGTGAAACCAGTCAGTAATCAATGTACGATTCCATTTACAGGAGATACCTAGAGTAGTCAAATTCATGGAGACAGGAAAGAGCATGGTGGTTACAGTGGGAAAGGGAAAAAAGAGAGGTTTGTTTACAGGGGACAGTTTCAGTTGGAGATGAAAAAGTTCCAGAGATGAATGCCGGTGATGGTTGCACAACAACATGAATGTTCTTAATGCCACAGAATCGTATACTTAAAAATGGTTAAAATGGTATAAAAAATGGGCGAAGGATCTGAATAGAAATTTCTTCAAAGAAAGTATACAAATGGCCAATAAGCACATGAACAGATGTTGAATATCACTAGCCATCAGAGAAACGCAAATCAAAACCACAATGAGATACTCATACCCACCAGGATGGCTATTATCAAAAAGACAGGTAATAAGTGATGGTGAGGATGTGAAGAAACTGGCACCCTCAAACATTGCTGGTGGAAATGTGAAACGGTGAAGCTGCTTTGGAAAACCATCTGACAGTTTCTCAAATAGTTAAACACATGAACCAGCAGTCACTCTCCTGTATACTGAAAACATACAACTGAAAACACATGTTTATATAAAAACTTCTATATGAATAAGAAAAATGATGAGGGAGAACTCGCCTGACCAGTCATTAAAACATTCTTTACAGCCTCTGTAATTAAACACAGTATAGTGCTGGCACACAAATAGAAAAAAATAAACCAGTAGAATATAATTTAATGTCTAAAATAAGACACAAAAATGTATGAACATATAGTGTAGGACAAAGGTGGTATCTCAATTAACAATGTGAAAATGAACTTCTTCATAAATCATTATTGGATAACTGTGTAACCAAAAAAACTTCTATATGAATTTTCATAGCAGCATTATTTGTAATAAATAATAAATTAAATTTATAATTGTAAAATTGTATTTATAATTGCCAAAACGTAGAATCAAACCAAGGGCCATCAACTGATAAGTGGACCAATAAAGATGGTATATCCATACAATGGAATATTATTTGACAATAAAATGAAGTATCAATACATGCTACAAATGGATGAGCCTTGAAAACAGTATGCTAAGTGAAAGAAGCCAGTCACTAGAGCCCATACACTCTATGATTCCATTTACATGAAATGTCCAGAACAGGCAAATCTGTAGAGACTAAAAACAGGTATGTGGTTGCCTAGGGATTGGGGAATTGGAGAGAAACGGAGTAAATGTTAATGGATACAAGATTTATTTGGGGGTAATAAAAGTGTTCTAAAATTGTGTGTAGTGATTCGTAACTCTGTGAATATACCAAAAACCAGTGAACCATACAATTTAAATGAGTGAATTGTGGTATATGAATTATTTTTCAATAAAGCTGTTATTTAAAAAGGTATTGCTAGAGAACAGGTTCTCGTATGATGATAGCTATTTCATAAGTAATATAAAAGAATTTTAAACACTACTAAATAAATAACTCTAGACTATAAAAAGGCAATATTAACAAAACTAGTAGGAGAAACAGAAAAATCTGCAATGCTTATGAAAATTTTAACTACTATTCTCAATAATTGATAAAACAGAAAAAAAATGGAAAGGATGTAGAGGATTTTAAGCCACAAAATTAACACTCTTGACGTAAGGACCAATGCACAGTACTGCAAACTACAGAATACACATTCTTTTTAGGCACACACAGAATATTTGTAAAATTGATCAAATACTGAGCTATATGCCAAATATAAAAAATCTTCAAAAGACCCAAAGCATGTTTTTTAACCACAATACAATCTAAAATCACTTGTTTTTTTTATCAAAACCCTGTATAGTATTTACTATGGGCTGAGTATTGTTCAAATTGCTTTATAAATAGTCATTAAATGATTCCTTATAACAATTCTATGATGTAGGTGTCATTATCATCTCAATTTCATAGTTAAAATTTAGTATTAATGAGCTGTCCGAGATCACACAGCTGGTATACAAAACCAGGCAGTTTGGTTCCAGGTCAGTGATCCTAACTGCTGTGTTATATTGCCTTTTAATAGCAGAGTAATAATTAGGAAATTCTCCCTTGGGCATGGAAATTACAAAATATACTTCTAAACGAATGATGGGTTCAGAGAAGAAACCACACTTGAAATACAACATTTTTACTCTAGTGACAAAACCTTGTAAAGAAACTGAAGTAGTATTAAGGGAAAGTTAAAGTCTCAAATGCTCATATTACAAAAGCAGAATGGTTGTAATCAATGACCTAAGTTTCTATCTCAAAAACATAGAAAAAAAACATAAAATTAAAGCTTCTAAAGAAGTAGAAAGAAATAATACAGAGCAGAAAACAAAAAAAAAAAAAAAAAAAAAAGGAAAGCAGATGTACAATAGGGAAAATAAAGCCAAAAGTTGCTTCTTTCTAAAAAATGATAAAATTGATAAACCCCGAGCAAGATTGACCAAGATTAAAAGAGAGAAAACACAAATTAGCAATATCAAGAATGAACAGGGACATCACTACAGATTCTATGGACACTGAAAAAAAAGTAAGAGATTATTATATGATTAATGCCAGTATATCTGACAATTTAGATGACATGAACAAGTTGCTTATAAAACCAAATTTAGTAAAACTGATACACAATGAATAAGAAAATCTGAATAATCTTTTCTCTACTAAATAAGTTAAATTCATTATTTAAAATCTTCCTATAAGAAAAACTCCAAACACATGTGACCTCATTACCAAACACTAAAAAAAAAAAAAAGAGAGAGAGATTAAAATAGAGCTCATCTTACAAACACCTTTTCAGAGAACAGAAGAAGGAACAACTTTCAAAATTATTTTAGGAACCATTATAACCCTGATGCCAATATCTGACAAAAATATTATAAGAAATGAAAATTACAGGCCAATATATTTCATGAATATAGACTCAGTAATCCTAAATCTATTTCTCTCACTCCAGGCTCAGCTCTAAATGATCTCTTCTCACTATAAAACCCTTCCATAGAATTCCACCCACGCACACAGTTTCAAAGAGCATCCTTACACAAATGACATGCTTTTTTCTTCAGTCCAGACCCTTTCCATTCACCCATCCTCCTTTCCAATCCCAGCTTCTCTCACTTGGACAACTAAAATAGCATCCTACATGGTCTTTCTATATCTAATCTTGCTCTGGTCCCGTCCATTCTCCCTACATCACAATCAGGGGATCTTTTCAAAATGCAAATCTGATCAGTCACTTTACTTCTGGAAACCATTCAAAGGTTCCTTTCCTTTTTTGGATTGAAACAAAACTGGGCCTATGAGGTCCGAGATCATTGCATTCATACCAATTTTCCTGGTATCATTTTGAACCACTTCCACCTTGGACCTTTTGCTCCAGCCGCCCTGTTTATCACATGTCCCATTTTCTCTGCCACTCACAGTTTCTTTGCACACTCTATCTCTACTCAGACCCTCATTCTTTCTCCTCTTTGCCTAGTTAATCCTTATTCAGCTTTCAGATTCTCCTATACCAAATCAAACTCTCCTAGCATATGCTCTCATAGTACCTCTGTCCTTTAATTTTATCAAATATCAAAATCACAATTTCACATTTTATTCATATAATTAATTCCTTAATGCCTCTCTCTCCCATTAGATTTTAAGCCCCCTGATGGCAAGGACCTGTTTGTCCTCACCATCTATTCTCAATAGCAAAGACAGTATATAGCATATAGTAGATACTCAATAAATTACCCATTGAATTAATGAATCTTTTCCTGTAATCATAACTCAAACACAGTTAATGCAAATTTAGTTAATGTGAAGATTTTTCAGTTTCAAAAGTATTTTAGAAGTACAGTGGCAGGTCTCTTTTATGTATGAGATGCATCTCGAATTAGTCAAATGGAAACTAAATGTTTTTCATTTGAATCTATCTCATCAATAAGTCCATGCTTTAATAAGTCCATGGAGTTTTTAATAACTCCAGTTCTCTCTTTTCAAATGTCTGTAATGCATCACGGTTTAGCTGAACATTTCTTCTTCCTTCCATCACTGTAGAATGTAACTAAATGTGGAAAGTGGTGGTAGTTAAGCATATATTTAGTAAAGAAAAGAATCCTTTCATAATATAGGTTATAATTCTTCAATGGCTCTATTATAAAAGTTGGAGCTCAGCAATTGGAGTTTCTCGAAAGCAACTGTACCTATAATTCTCCATTGGGGAAGAGGGGAGAAGGAAAGAAAGAAGTGACAAACGGAGGCATTTCCGGCAAGCGGTAACAAGAAAACATCCTTTAATGCTGTCATTACTTTCTCCTTGTCCAATGATATTTCTGCCTTCAATTTTCTATGACCCACATCCAACCTGATAGGCACAAAATATTGATCCATATGCATCTGGCATTGCACTTAAGCCGTTATAATGGAGTGAAACTCTAAAGCCTCATGCATTGTAGAGATATTTCTTTAAAAAGAATTAAAATTGGTACAATACTATATATTGTTCAAAAGTTAATACTGGCTCCAATTTATTCTACTTGCATTCTTTAAAATCGACTTAATTTTCATGACTAAATGTCAGGCAAAAAATACTACAAGAATTAACAGTTGATTGACTCTAATAGGTATGAGATTTCTTTTTGGGGGATAGTAATTTTTAGAAATTAGATAGCAGTGATGGTTGCACAACAT